TCAGACAGTTAAGAAAAAGCAATTAAATTATCCTGATATTTATTGTTAAGCAACAATCTTTATTCTCATATTCCTAATCTGTGATTTGTTTCAAACACAAACACTCCAATGACGGTAGGATCAGAGACTCAGAGCACCAGCTAAAGGATGACACAATGTCTAGCACAGAAAAGAAGGCGTGATCCAAAGATTATCAAGTGCCTTAAATGTTGATAGTTTGTCATTCACCTACCTATTTCTATTAACACCTCAGAGCTATTGAACTGAAAGAAATTCTGCATTACAGACCAAAACAGTAGATTTTAGAGAGAGTTAGTTTGGCACCAAACATTAATGTTACCTCCTCTTATCTGATCCTCTAATGAAGTGATACAGCTGAATTGTCAGAAATCTTTCCACAGTATCTCACTGATGGCAGAGGTAAGATGCACATTTCACTGCTAGGTCATATGGGGAATTACTCCAGTAAGAAACCACTTTATAAGGATCAGAAGCCTGCAGTAGCAAATCGAATACACAATTGGCCAAATGGAACTAATGGAACAAAAAGAGTAACTTTTTGATACTCTTGCCAATATCCATAATTGCTTTACTGTTCCTTTGCCATATACAATTTTCAAGAGACTGGATGCAACGCAAAATATTCATTGAAAATTAGGTTTTCCATAAATATGGGAGAGCTTGTTCAATCTTTTAACTCACATGCAAAATAAAACAGCTACCTCTCTATTTACTAGGAAGAATTTAATAGGGTGTTCCTAAGGCTTCATATTAATAAAAATACTAGAACCATTTACTAACATGCTATGGAGAATCATGAAAAATTAAAACCTATCTGTACTAGTCATGTCAATCAACCAATCATATTTTGTAATGAGTCATTCTTTGCTTGTGTTTTTTTTACCTATTGACTAGGTGGGAAAATTCATTCATCAGCAATGTATCTCCCAATTGCTAGTTTAATTTCAACTAGCAAAATTCTATTGAACAAAGTGCAAGGACATGTTAAGATTTTTCTGCCAGTCAAGATTTTTCTTGGTACTTCAAAACTTATTCTTACTGGATTTAGCTTAGTGTGTCCAACCAAGCAACTATATTGTCTACTTCAAAATGCTTCATGACAGAATCAGGGTCTGACATTCTAGTTCTTGCTTATGTTATAATTTAGAATAATTGAAAGGGTTGCAATGACCCTTCAATTGAAACACTTCTTTTACAACTTGAAGATACTAGGAAAACTGTTATTTGAAAACTGGCAGCAGTTAAACAGAAATGAACCAATAGCACACTGAAGACCTAGCTTTATCCTGGGTGTTACTTTATTTTTAGCTACAATCAAAGTTACTAAGCTAAAAGGAAGCTTAAAAATTCCATTTCTTCAAGTTTGAGTATTTTGGCACAAACAACAAAACCCAGCTTTGCATTATGAAATACCTTCCCAGTTAGCGAGCCATGCTTAGAATGTGACTGATCATTGTGAAGCAATAAAATTGTGAAGCATGTAGAAGAACTTAATTTGTTGGACAAAAGTCAACATGGTTTCTGTAAAGGGAAATCCTGTCTTACTAATCTATTAGGGTATGTCTACACTACAGCGCTAATTCGAACTAAGCTAATTCGAATTAGCACAGCTAGACTTAAAAACTAGTTCGAATTAGCGTTTTGCTAATTCGAACTAGCATGTCCACACAGAGTGGACCCTGAACAGAGGTTAAGGATGGCCGGAAGCAGTGCCGGCAGGGCATCAGATGAGGACTTAGAGCGTGGAGCTGCTGCATGAAGAAAAACTTCCTTTTCTTTGTTTTATACATGCTACCTATTACTTTCATTTGGTGACCTCTTGTTCTTGTGTTATGGGAACAAGTAAATTAGAATGCCCAGCAATGTAGACTGGTCAGCCGTGTATCTCATTTATCCTTCATCTTACACTGACTGAAGAAAGATTTTTTTTTTTAGGATAAATTTCTTAAACCAGTTTATCTCCTCAAAACAGAAAAACGAATCAAGCATTTTATTAATTAGAGACACTCTCTGTTTATGCTACTATCAAGGCCGCAAGCTGTAATCAATACAATCAATATGCTAGGACCAGCTATGGCTTTCTTGATAACAAAGCTGAATGCTAAATAGTACACCCTGACATTGAGAGTCCCATTATGTGAAGACACAGAAGAGGCAGTTTTCATAAATATTCAAAGTTAGTTTTAGCACTGACTTGGGCACTAAAATTCTCAGTTATTCTGTACCTTATTTTTCACGTCCAGGTACATAACAGCCTTCATGACACAATTTTACTATCTCATTTCTTTTTTCCTCCAATATTTCTATCAGAAAATCTGTGCTACATTCAGGAAGTAATTATAATATATCGAAAGATCATAAGACAGTCGGGCAGCATTTAAAAGCGAAGACAGTCATTTGTATTTCTGTAAACAGCCTCTGTCACAGCGATGTGACAAACGTGATTCATCTCTGCGACACCCTGCCTAGCAGGGAAGTGCGCCTGTGAGCCCTTGCCAATGCTGTGCAGCTCGCCAGACCCGCGGCACGGCTGTCACCATTAACAAGCGGATGCTAGCAACAGGAGAATTCAGGAGCACTGCAGGCCCCGTCTTGCAATGGGAGCGCTTGTCCAGGCGGTGTGGCCAAGTGCACCACCGGGCGGGGATCTGTTACGTGACAGTCCCACGCAGAGCCTGTGGGCAGGCTCCACCAGGTGCCTATTTCACGCACTGCAGGCAGATTTAGGGGCTTTCTCCCCGCTGGACGCTCACCAGGCTGTTTGCTATTCGGGGATCCAGCTGCTGGATCCTATTTCTTTTACGCCTCCAGAATATGAACTGAGCACTGACTGGGCTGTTGTCCTCTCAGCACCCCCTTGGGGGCACACGCTCTGTTTAGCAGCCCCCCCGGCCCATCACTGACCGCTCTGTAGCTGACGCACAGCCGCTCCCAGCACTCCACCTAGGCGAGCTTTCTGGGCCCAAAGGTTAACTCCCCAGTGCACATGCAGGGTGTAACATGCAGCGCAGATACTTTGCCCAGGCTTCTCACCCCATTGCTCTCAATTCCATCACCTGAGAAATTGCGATATCGGCTCTTCTTGGGAACTTGCCACCCTCCTCTCTCTGCTCCCGACAGACAAGCAGGAGGAAGTAACTTCTCCAAGGCTCCAGCTCACCAGGCCTGGTCTACACTAGACCAGGCAGATTAGCTTAGGGTATGCCACTCCAGCTATGCAAAATGCGTAGCTGGAGTCAGCTTACTTTGAGCCAAGCAGTGGCTGCGTCCACAGAGCAGGAGGTCGACAGGAGCACACACTCCTGTTGGCTTCCCGTACTCCTCTCAGGAGGAGGAGGATCGGGTGCTGGCAGGGCTGCCTTCAGCGCTTGATGTAGGGGGTCTACACTAGACCTGCTAAATCGAATGCTAGAAGAGTGATCTCTGGAACATCGATCTTCTCGTAAGTGTAGACATGCCCTCACTGTCCCAACATGATGCGGTTGCTGAGTTCTAATGACCCACCATTGTACTTGGAAGGAATATGCTTATCCCTTGTCAGGAATGGTGGGTACAAGGCAGGCAGAGATGCAGTCCCCATTACAGCAACATCATCCCAAGAAGCTCATCAAATTCATAAATCGTACAGACGGATCCCCCAGATCGCCATGTCTGTACACCCTGATTTTCACAGATTTATATCTGTTTTTATAATGGACCAGGCTGGGGCTCAGCTAGTCAAATAGTAACAAAAAAATTAAGATTAATACATATATTGCAAATGAATATGGAATATTTGTTCTGCTGTTAATTTTAATGATATTTCGAAAGCTGGACTAATTATTGTAAAGCCTAAATTTTATACACATTTTAGGATATTTGTCTCAAAGTCAAAACAGAAAGCATGTTATCTATTATGTGCTATTAATTATTCTTCTGCACACGGAGTTTGAGTTGCCCAATCAGGGAGCAGAAAAAATATTTGACTTATGTGACCAATCAGACACTGACCATAATGAACAGGAAAAAGGCAAATAGGATGCTAGGAATTATTAGGAAAGGGATAGAAAATAAGACCCAGAATATCTTACTGCCCCTGTATAAAACTATGGTACGCCCACATCTTGAATACTGTGTACAGATGTGGTCTCCTCACCTCAAAAAAGATATTTTGGCCTTGGAAAGGGTTCAGAAAAGGGCAACTAAAATGATTAGGGGTTTGGAACGGGTCCCATATGAGGAGAGGTTAAAGCGACTGGGACTTTTCAGTTTAGAAAAGAGGAGACTGAGGGGGGATATGATAGAGGTCTATAAAATCATGAGTGGCGTGGAGAGGGCGGATAAAGAAAAGTTATTTATTAGTTCTCTAAATAGAACTAGAGGACACCAAATGAAAGTAATGGGTAGCAGGTTTAAAACTAATAAAAGAAAGTTCTTCTTCACACAGCGTGTAGTCAACCTGTCGAACTCCTTGCCAGAGGAGGCTGTGAAGGCTAGGACTATAATAGATTTTAAAGAGAAGCTAGATAATTTCATGGAGGTTTGGTCCATAAAAGGCTATTAGCCAGGGGATTAAATGGTGTCCTTGGCCTCTGTTTGTCAGAGGCTGGAGAGGGATGGCAAGAGACAAATCGTCTTCGGTTCACCCTTTCTGGGGCACCTGGTGCTGGCTACTGTCGGTAGAGAGGATACTGGGCTAGATGGACCTTTGGTCTGACCCAGTACGGCCGTTCTTATGTTCTTATGTTCTTATGATCATTTTGCTTGCTTTGAAAACATTAGACTTATTTTAAACAACTAAATTCTTAAAAGGAAGGTGCATGTGTGCACAATATAAATCTTTTAGTCAGTTGATTGGGGTCCCTGGAGCTAACTAAATGCAACCAATCACGATTATGTCCTCACAGTGTGCTGGACAGCTACTTGCAAGACCTGAGTTAATTCAACATTAACTGGTGGATGTGCCTTATGGGAGAGGGCACACTGAAAACATTCTACAATATGAGAAGGGAGAGCACAAATTAGAGTAAAGGAAAATGGGAAGAGGTACAAAGAAAGCAGATGAATGGGTACAGAACAAAGATTCTCATAGGTCAATTTATTATAACCACACTGGGCTTGTCTACATTTGAAGGGTGTGTCTAGACTACATTCCTCTTTCGAAAGAGGAATGCAAATGAGCAGGGCTTGACAAATTAGTCAATCTACTCGCCCGGGGCGAGTAGCTTTTAAGCCAGTATGGCGCCGCAGCACAATCAGCGCATGTGCAGCGTGCCAAACCACGCGGCTGGCGAGCAGGGCTCACCGCTGCTTGTCAAGCCCTGCAAATGAGGGAAATAAAAAATGCAAATGAAGTGCTGATATACAAATCTTGTGCTTCATTTGCATAATCCCGATCACTTTTTTGGAAGAGATTTTTTCAGAAAAAAAAGTAGTCTAAACGGTGCTCATTTTTTCAGAAATAAGGGTTCTTTTGCAAAAGGGTTTTTGGGTTTTTGTTTTTTTTTCAAAAGAACCCGTCAAGACTGGCTTTTTTTTCCTGAAAAAGCCTCTTCCGAAAAAGTGAGATTATGCAAATGAAGCGCGAGATTTGTAAATCAGAGCTTCATTTGCAATTTCGATTTCCTTTATTTGCATTCCTCTTTCAAAAGAGGAATGTAGTGTAGGTGGACCCAAAATGCAGCACACTGTGCTGCTGCAGCACTTCAGTGCAGACACAGAAGACAGAAGGGAAAGCATTCTCCCACCAGTGTAGTAAACCCATCTCTCCAAAGGGCAGTAGCAAGGTGAACAGAAGAATTCTGTCATCAGCCCAGAATGGTCTACACCAGTGATACTCAGTCCTCAGTAGTTCAGGAGCCAAATTAGCAAACCAGATTGCCCAAAGGAGCCACAGTAATGTGAATACATTCTTTCATTTACCAGTATACATAAATAAATTAAATATATACTATTTTCATAGCAGAATTACCAATCAAGTTTTCTACAATTGACGATTAAAATACTAAAATTGTCGTGATTAGTTAATAACTTAGACTGATTAATAATTAAATCACACGATGTTTTATTAAATCTGAATATCACTGGTCTTAATAGCGGAACATCACTGGGTTAGTTTGGCTTTCATACCTCACTGAAAGAAGTGTGGGTTCTTCACACGCCAGAGTAATTAATTCAGCTGTCAATTTAACTGTAGACCTGGCTTCCACAACCATAATGCCACCCCAGCATTAATCCACTGCAAGTGAGACCATGTATGCCACGAGGCCTACACAAAGAGGGTCTGACTTCAGGTCTATTAACATACCTAACCCTATTTTTCTCCTCTTAAACACAATCTTTGCACCTAAGCCTTCAAACACTGAGTACAGAGTATGCCAATACGAATAGTAAGCATCACACTTTATTTGCAAAATCAGACCTTTTATGATTACATTCAATCGTTAAAGTTACCATGATTTGCTAGAGAAACGCTGTAAGCCTCTGATATTTGAGGGACCAGCCCTATGAAATGCTCAATTACTTCAAATTTCTGTGAGGACACCTAGCATCTCAAGATCAGTGTTTCAAAATTCTTCATAATCTTAAGTTAATGAAGAAGAATTAAAACTGAAGTATGACAAGTATCACTGAGATCATGTTCCATGGTACACTTGTATGTAATTTACACCATGTCTACATTACAGCGTTAACACTAGGAGGCTATGCTGAGATAGCCATAGTAGCAAAATATTTGTCATGCAGACAAAGTGTCAGGCCATCCTGAAAATGACTTTATCACTTCCACCTGTGGAAACATTTCCCCACCTCTCACTGGCAGAGTCAGCCTTGCTAAACATTTAAATCCATACATAATAGGACTTCTGTCCTATAAGCATAATATTTACCGGGAGTTGTCAATCAGTTCAGCAATGGCTCCAAAGAGAAAGTCATGAGTGGTGCTAAAAGAAAGGTAAAAGTTGATTAAAATCTACCAGCAGTTGGTAATATCAAATCAAGCATCTGAGCATTATGGAATCTACATAAGCAATATGTTCAGTTCCCACCACTGAAACACACAAAATTATATGAAAGCAGTTTTTATTCTGAGATTTAAATACACACATAATATTGTGAAAATGAGTGGCAAAGATTTTTAAAAACTAAATATACAGGCAGAACATGCTGATCACTCTGCACTTTAACCTGTTATGCATATTACATTCTCTAATTATACGTGTTACACATCAGAACATTTCCATTACCCTAGTGGTGAAACAGTCAATAGGGCTTCTTTTCTAAAGGGACATGGGGGAGAGGGGGAGGAGGGGAGGAAGAAAAAGAAAAAAAAAAAGGAAAGGCGTATTGATTTTTTTTCCCTGTTGGTAGAAAAAGCTAATTAAATTTTGTGGCACTGGCAAGTAGCACTACAAGCTTCCTGGGATGCTATGACCTATTAAGAACTATACAGACATCAATATCCTTGAGTGTAGTTCGGGTTTCACAACTGTGTAACTGTATTCTTGGTGCATTTACTCTCCATTTACCATTCTAATGAGATTTAAAATCAGGATTTGTTTCCCCAAGGACTGAGGATTCAATTTCATATTTTCAGAGTGTTTTAGGTCAGGCCAGACCACAAGATCTGAGCCAATTGCTTTTAACGTACGGTCTGCAGACCCATGGGGGTCCACACCTTATGTCTAAGATTTCCAAGAGTCCAAACCTCTATTCAAAATTTTGTAGAGGCAAAAAAAAGGGTGAAATCCAGTATACCACAGGCCATTAAATTACACCTGCTACCCAACACTGAGCCCAATAATTTTAGTTAAACTAAGCACTTCAGTCCTCAATCATCTAAACTGTTGTGTGCCACAGGCAGACAGCAGGAGTGATGGAAGTGCTACCAATGTCAAAGATCCCTGCAATGGTAAGGAACTATTAGGTGAGATTGCTGCTGGGATCATCTAGACCTATCTACTCCCCTTGCTGCAGAGGAAAGTGAAAACCTCTAAGGTCCTTACCAACCTGATCCTGGAGAAATCCCTTCCTTAGCCCATATATAGCAAACAGTCCAACTCAGACCTTGTGATCAAGACCCAAACAGCCAGATATCTAATACAGAGGATTCCATGTATCAACTCAGAAGAACTGGACACATTCGTGGTCCTACCTCCAGCTATGTCCAATTTCTGGTGCTTCTGCCACCCCCATCAGCATCACCAATACATCTGGCCAATTGGGCATCCAGGGATAAAAAGGTGCACATATGGATCAATTCCTCCTGCATTCAGCATCAGCAGGTGATTTAAGTACCAGGGAATGGAGAATGGGAGACAGATTAACAGACTGGCTCAGAGTAAGGTTTCAGAGGGGTAGCTGAGTTAGTCTATAACAGAAAAAACTTTAAAAACAATAAATAGTCTAGTAGCAACTTAAAGTCTAACAAAACATGTAAATGGTATCATGAGCTTTCATGGGCACAACCCACTTCTTCAGATGGCATTCTCCACAGAATTAAGGATTTAGCTCACCTGTGTTAAACATAAATGTGCTGCAAGTCACACAACCGCTGATAATATCCACTGCTGTCTATGAGAATATTAATGGTGCTCTACTCTAATTATGGACCTGGTTAGTCTTTTCCTTTTAACATTGTATTTTCAAAAAAGACCCACTTTATAGACTAAAGCTTGTCTTCAAAATTCTGTACTCTCAAGGAAGAATTCCTGGCCGACCATTATTCTAACATTAAAAAGGCATCTGAAATGTAAAGACTGCTCATTTGTACATCTGAAACTTCTGAGCAACGAAAATTAAAACATGACAACACAAGAAACTCCTGACAGAGGATTTAAACTCTCTTTTCTCAGGTAAGGAACATCATCCTTCACTTCCAACCCACAAGGTTATTTAAATGGTAAAAAAATCATCACCTCCTGTCCTAATTAAGTACTTTTACACACATATTCCAGCCACTATGCAGCCACAACAGCACAGGCAGTAATGAAAGTGTCAGACTAGACAGAACCCAAACCCATTTAAAAAGACAGCTTTTTAAAACCACCTGAGCATTATCTACAATGGTGCTTATGTCATTGTTGGCACAAAGGCAGAAAAAATGTGTATAGCAATTTCCAGTGCAGATGTACCCTGGGACTCCAACAACATATGTATTTTTTGCTACAGGCCACTGTTACATAAGCCATTCATGGGACCTCTGGAACTGATTTGGTGTCAACATGTAAAACTGTTGCCTATGTCTCAGCAAGTAAGACAATAGTTAAGACAGTAATAGCCTAAAGACACTAGTTCACGATCTGTGCTAATTCAGTCTCTTTCTGCAGGCAGTAACAATGGGGTGCTACTGCCATTAGATCCACAGTAGCAGTAGTGAAATTGTTGGAGATTTTAACAAAACAGAAAAATTCTTGGATATTTACAAACCACCCAGGAAAAGAAAGCTCCTCAGAAAGGAACGCATCATAGGCTTCTTAATATTTTCCAGATCTTTACAGCTTTTCATGCAGAAAGACCAGCTAACTTTGCCTCCTTACACCATCTTTTATTGAATTCAGGAGGTACATCAAATGGACTGAGCGTGGAACTGTGGGTCAAGGTTATAAGTCTGTTACTAATTTACTTATCAAATTGGTTCATGCCCTTGGACAAGCCACTCAGTCCAAGTTACCTGAAATGCTTGCTGTTTTGGGGTTCTTAGATACTGGCAACTCCCCTTCCCTTCCACTGCTAATGCTTTCCAGGAAAAGACCACCACCACTATGGGGCAGAAAATTAAATCCCCAGAAGTAGCAGGTGTTTGACCCTGTGCCTCAGTTTCCCCACTTTTCAGAAATGCCATGTGCTGCCTTCGGAGAGCACCTTGAGCACTCCAGAGCTTTAGTAGCAGTAATTGTTAAAGCCTTGGAGGAACTAAGAGAGGTTTATTTTAAAAGACATAAACTACCTATGCTGCTGTTAAACTGCAGTGGTTCCCACACTTTTCAGCATCATGCCCCCCTTTTGATTTTTGAGAAACCCTCATTCCCCTCCCCCCATAGCAGCAAAACTTGTTGAGCCAAAAAAAAAAAAAAAAACTAACGGGAGCGGGGGGGGGGGGGGGGAGGGGGGGGTGGGGGGGGGGGGGGGGGCTGGGTTGCCTCACGCCCCCGCCCCCTGGAATTTCTTCACGCGCCCCAGTTTGGGAACCCATGTGTAAAAGGGATCTCTCAGCGCTTGGGTAAGAACTGTATTTGCAACAGTAACAAGAGATGGAAAAAGTTCCCCTTCCAAAGGGAGGTGGAGGGTGTAAAGGGGTTGGAGCCGGAGGGGGAGGGGTTAGCACTGTATTATACTGCTAAAAAGAAGAGTTTATTTGGAGGAGGAACTTGAGAGTGGGGATTCAAGGTGCCGAAGCAAACACCAGGGCTCCAGCCCCTTTTCCACCGTCTAAACCTAGAAGCGCAAGGCAGGCACCCACAAGCTACCCCTGCCTCCTGCCACTGCCCAGCCCGGCAATGCCGTGCGCTTCCCAGCCACCGTGCCCCAGGAGGCTGGGGCCAGCGGGGGACCCGCCCAGGGACGCCCCCGGCCCGGCGGGAGCCGCACACGCGCCTGGCAGAGCCACTCCCGGGAGAGCGGGGGG